ATGATTTGATGATGCCGGATAACATAATGTAATATATTTTAACGATTGATGGACGCATTCTAACTCTGATGTCCCAAAAAATCTCACGAGAATGATTATCTTAATTTTAACATGGTACCAAAACCGCATTCTAACTCTCAGTCCGTCAGTATACATTACATTGCATTACATTGCATTGCGTCACATTACGTTACATTAACATTACACTAAATTGCATTACACTACATTAACAAACATTAACATACATTAAAAACATTAACGTACATCAGCAAACATTAACAAACATGAACGTACATTAACATACATTGCATACAAAACAAACATACCATACACAAAATACATTGCATACAAAACATGCATTAACATACATTAACAAAACAATTACATATATACAAACATACATACGTACATACATACATACATACTTACCATACATACATACAAACATTTCATAACAAAACATTACATTCCATTATATTGCATTACATTACAGTACACTAACATGACACTATATTACACTACATTACATTACATTACATTACATTAACATACATTACCATACATTAACAAACATTAACAAACATTGACATACATACATACACACTTACATTACATTACATTAAATTACATTACATTACAACACATAAATTACATACATACATACATACATTTCATACATACATACATACATACATTAATTACATACATACATACATGCATGCATGCATACATACATTCATACATTCATACATACATACATACATTACATTACATTACATACATACATACATACATTAATTACATACATACATACATGCATGCATGCATACATACATACATACATACATACACACATTACATACATACATTACATTACATACATACATGCATACATTACATACATTACATACATACATACATACATACATACATACATACATACATACATACACACATACATATATACACACATACTTACATGCATACATACATACATAAACACAATACATACATAAAAACAATACATACATACATACATACATAACATAACATAACATAACACTACATAACATAACATACATACACACATTACATACATACATTACATTACATACATACATGCATACATACATACATACATACATACATACAATACATACATACATAAAAATACATACATTAACATACATTACCATACAAAACATACAAATCAAACATACCATACACAACATGCATTAACATACATTAACAAACATTAACAAACATTAACAAACATTAACAAACATTAACAAACATTAACAAACATTGACAAACATTAACAAACATTAACAAACATTAACAAACATTAACATACATTAACATACATTAACATACATTAACATACATTAACATACATTAACATACATTAACATACATTAACATACATTAACATACATACACATACATACATACATACATACATACATTACTTACACTACATTACATTACATTTGACTACAATTTGTTTCCTGGCATGAACACACATTGACACAAATTAGCACATTAACAGACATTCACATTCATTAAGATACATTAAAGCACATTAACATACATTGAAACAGAAACACATTACCATACATTAACATACAGTAACATACATTAACACACACTACATAACATTACAAACAATACAAACATACAATACATACATACAATACATACGAACGACACATACGTGCAATACATACAATACATACATTACATACATACATACATACATACATACAGTACATACAATACATACAGAGCAAACAATACATACATACATTACACACAATACATACATACATTACATACATACATCACAGACATACATTACACACACATTACATACATACATTACATTACATACATTACATACATACATTACATACAGGCATTACATACATACATTACATACATACATTGCATACAAACGTACATACATTACATACATACCATACCATACATACATTACATACACACATGCATACATACATGCGTGCATGCATACATACATATTTACATACTTCCGTACATACACGCTTACATGCATACATGCATACATACAAAAAAAACATTGCATTACATTGCATTACATTGCAGTACATTACATTACATTACATTACATTGCAGTACATTACATTACATTACATTTACTTACATTTACTTACATTACATTACATTACATTACATTACATTATAGTTCAGGACATACACTTAGAACACAAATTGTTTTCCATTTTTTCCATACGCTTAGAACACCGTTTTGCTGCCGGTGAAATTTACCCTAACTGTTCTAAGTGAAGGCTTAGAACATGTTCTAAGTGAGCCACTTAGAACTTCATCAGAATCGTGTTAGAACACATCTTATTTTTCCAGCATGTGTTCTAAGTGTATGTCCATCCATGTAAAGTAGTCATACAATACAATTGTTAAACATATCATTTTGCAAAATATTAGGAAATATATGTGTGTAAATGTGTATTTTATATGTGTATATATATATATAGTAAAGGATTCATGCAGAAACCCTGCAACCCTGGTACATCCCTTGCACAAACTGCATACCTAATATATATTGGTTCGTCAAGAAAGCATTTCCCATAATTGCATCAAATATAATTGGCTTAAAACCTAATAATCTCATTGAAGTGATATGCAACCACCATTCCCAAAAAGATATTTCCAATTGGATAATTTTCGGTATAGCTCTATTTGAGAGGATGTAAAATGACCTCCACATGTGGCGCAAATGATTATTTAATGGGATGGCTTATTTTTGGGTTTATCACATTAATTGTCTATGTATCCATTGACCCCTGCTGAAGGCTGTACCAATCCTTACATAATTTAAATTGCGGACATACACTTAGAACACATAAATTACCCCCAAAGTGTTCTAAGTACCCTTTAGAACGTGTTCTAAGTGAATGGGTTTTGGTGGGTGTTCTAAGTGCATACTTAGAACACATTTAGCTGCTCGATCTTTGATTTTCGTTTTCCAAATAGTGTTCTAAGTGTATGTCCTGAACTATACATTACATTACATTACATTACATTATGTTACATTAGATTACATTACATCACATTACATACATTACATACATTACATTACATTACATACATTACATTACATTACATTACATCACATCACATTACATTACATTATGTTACATACATCACATACACTTGAATCGCCTAAAAACAGCCGCATTAACAAAAGGGGGTTTACTAAAACAAGCAAACAACCACACACGAATCCAGGGCAGTGGCTGCAGCCTGCTTTCATCTTGAGCCAAACAAGTATTAACGACCTGTTCCGGAAGGGTCTTTACAGTGAACAATATGGGTATGATTTACACCATTTTTTTCAAGCCCCCCTGACGACGAACTGTACAGGGTTGTTACACCTTACACTGACAAATGCATCCTACTCGTGGCGCCTACGGTCGAATGCAAATCTCATAGCTCTTCGAGATGGGTTCCAGGCAAGAGATGGCAGAAATCAATGCGGTGATCTCGACATGCCTGGCGATTTCATGCACTGCTGTGCGGATGCATTATTAAACTACACGGATGCAAAGACGTGGCGCGCAACCAAACTCGGCATTAAATGGACGATACACGTGGAAGTGGCGCTGACGAAGCCTAAAAACCACGGGCAAAACGGATGAAAGACAGTGACAGTCAAGGCGAAATTCCAAGGAAGTGACTACGCAAAATCCGAGAAAATCTACGAGAATTAAAGCAGATGGGACTTAGTCACATCCACTATACATGATGCACGCTGCAGCGTAAAACAACGTCAGGTTTTTGATGCCATCGGTCGTAAAAACGGACGTCCTGAATGCATACGGAATGCGAAACTCACTCAGGAGATAAAAGCTTCATGTCTTGAGCGACACTATTACTATGTGAAGAAGCTTGAGTGCAGAATCCCATGCAGACACACCAGGGGACTTTGTGAGTACATCGGCTCGCTGCTTAAGCGTTCCAATCGCTGATCGTGCGATGTTCCTTTCACCCAAAAGAGCTTGTAAAACAGCTGCTTTGCCCCCGGCTCCAGTCCTGGTCTAGAAGACCTTGGAGCTTAGCATCAATGATAGTAGAAAACTGAGGAGAAGATGTTGGAGTGATGCATGTTAGAAAAATCAAAGGAAAATCTTACAGCGTAGCATCAGTGAGGCACAAACTTTCTCTGACGACCCGATTTCTGTGAGCATCTGCTCCTAGAAGCTGTTCCCCGCCACCCCTTCTCGTTTCGATCAACGTCTCTGTTTATATAGTTTTAAGTCAGCCCTATTCGTTCCAATTTCTCTTTGTTTCGTTTTAAATTACTACGTTTCGTTCCAAAGTCAGCTCCTTTCTTTTTCGTTTTCCATGCGCCCTTTCATTTTGAAGCCTCCTCTTTAGGTCTTTGCCTTTCTAGTTCAGGTCCTAACATCACTCCAACCTCCGAATATTTCATCATCATCGATGCTACACTCCAAGGCCGTCTCTTCAAGCTGCACCAAAGGCTCCCACCTTCCAGACCTTCTCCGGAACCTTCTCCGGAACCCTGTTGAACCTGACCTGGCTCTGCACCAAAGCGTCCCAGACCTTCGCCGGAACCTTCTCCGGACCTGGCTCTGCACCAGAGCCTCCCACACCTTCTCCGGAACCTTCTCCGAAAGATAACCTGCATTTTATCAGGTCAGCCAAGAATATGGTATATTACCAATGGGGTTGACCTACTGCCGCTAAGCTCTCGGCAGTTTTGAACCAACGCTATAGCACAGTCATCATGATGTACATGGAACATAGGGTTTTCCAACTCCTGTCAGGTGTAATTCGATTGTTTTTGCACGTAAGATGCACTCCAATGACAGTTCTGAGCAATAGTGTGTGTGTGTGTCTGTGTGTGTGTTTGGTTTTTGTTACTACATTCACACCGACATAAGAAATGGAAGACTGTATAGAAACATTGAAAATCTGCCGTCCTCAGCCGAACATGTCAAAATCTTCTTTCTCCACGGCTTTGTCACTGTAGATTTCTTCCTTAGGCGCAGTTCTGGTAGGCTTCATCACTGGGCTGCCGCCTTCCACACCTTGGGCAACGAGCTGGCGTCTTCTTTCAATGTATCTTGGGGTGTGCTTATCTGCCCAGCCAAACTGCACCACGAGTGCCGTGAGGTTCTCATCACTGCCTTTTTGAAACGCAGTGCGAACCACATTCTTTGCAGCCTCTTCTGAATCGTCCCAGTGCTTGCTAGCACAATCGATCACGTCTTGGTTTGAGAGGACGCGAGTCACACCCTCCGTTACCAGCACTACAAAGAGGTCCTTGTCCGTAATGGGTAGGACTCGAACTTCAGGATCTGCTGCTGATAAAGCAGGGTTCTTGAAGCATGCATCACCTAAGGAACGTGTGATGGACAAGCCTTGGTACTCGCGACGAGAAGACTTTGTTGAGCCGCGTGGATTGGCAGGAGCAGCGATTCGCCAGGCTCCCCGCACATTCAACACCAAGCCTCCTGCACGCTCTATACGTTTCTTCTCGTCTATTCTGTCGGGCTTGTGATCCTCTGTCACTTGCACCGCCTGCCCAGCTCTGCAGAGAATTGCTCTCGAATCCCCGACATGGGCCAACACCTTGGCAGCACTTGGCAGATTTGGCAAGGCATGCTCAGGAAAAGTGGAGGGAAACAACACAGTCACATGCTGCTGTTGCCTGTTTGTTCAAGTGTGTGTACGTGCGTGTAGGCTGTTACAAACGTGCACAAACCAAACTTGCCCCAACAACATGAAAGAAACAGGGCGCTTCATCTTTCTACAGGTTCCATGCATTAGACATGTCTGTTGGTGTGGTTTGGTTCAGGTAAAACGTTTGCTGGTGCGCATGTGACGTGTTTTTTGAATATGTTTGAACCCATCATTGAATGGCCAGAACGCAAGTGACACAACAAGCCTCAACACCAAGTATAATTATACATGTCAGCCTCGGATAGACAATGATAAACCCTGTCACGCATTGACAAATACTGACGAACCCAACTTATTTGCCGAGGCAGCACCAATCGCAAAGCAGTTCCAAGCTTGGGATTGCCATGCAAAATTGCGCAAACGGCAGTTGAGCCTGCAGAATCAAATTTCTTCCGCTCTGAGAGGGATAAGATTTCTTTGTCTGTGTGGGAGAAGGCTTCTCTCACAGCCAGTTTCAGTTTCTCATCCCTGGATGCCGGTTGCACTGCTTTTTGTCGAAAGAATGCTAAGATGTTTCTGTGCAAATTTTTCGCCGCCAACTCTGACACCTGAGCTCCACCATGGCCATCAAACACACCGAAGTAGACCCCAAGTTCATCCATGGCCTCATCTTGAGTGAAGCGGTCTTGTAGTTCAATCTGTTTGCCAGGCCAACTCTCTGCATGAACCCTTACACCAAGAGTGTCTGCTGTGACGAAGTAGCTTTTTCGCTTCTCCTCCAAATTCTGTGCGCCAGCGTGAACAGGCAAGGGCTTCCCATCCTTTCCCAACATGACGACTTCCTGGGCGCGAGGCTTGCCGTCCTGTTCGCCAAGTTTGTAGAGCACTCTTGCTCCCTCTCCAAGGTTGATGGGATTTTTACTGGTACTGCCAACTACGTTCCAGAGGTGGACGAAAATACTCTTGGGGGTTTCCTCATCTTCCTTGATCAAAGGGATGATGAAGCCGAAACCTTTTTCCAAATTCCACTCTCGGACTTTTCCCTCCACTTTTTTTTCTTCGGGTTCTGGTGCTTTCTCTTTCTCTTTCTCTTTGTCTTTGTCTGGAGGCTTTGGAGCTGGCGCAATCTCCACAGGTGCTGGTACTCCTGTGAGTCCATCATCTCCACTGGCTTTTGCTGCAGCTGCAGCTGCTGCACCCTCACCGAACTGCACAAACTCCGTTGATTGAATTGCTTTCCGCATCTCTTCGGATTGCTTCATCTTCCGGACGACTGGATCATCGTCGTCATCGATCTTCCGAAAATTCTTCGGATCGCCTTCCTTTTGCATGTAGTATACACCACTCTTAATATGCAAGTACAGGCCAGTCTCAGGATGAAACTTCCATTTGCTAGTCTTTTTGTACACATACCACCCACTACCGTCTGCAGAAGGTTCATAATCTGCAAAACTTGTTGGGGGCACACGCTCTGGGGTCTTGGAACGCTGCTTTCGGGCAGCTTTCCTAGATTTTGATCTGGAGGGTGCAGCACGTCGCTTCTGTGAGGGTGACCGTAGTTTTCTTGGCGGCGATGCACTTTCTGATGGCGGCCTCCTTCGATCACGGGACTTGGATCTACGGGTCTTTGAGCGACTGCGGTCAGTTTTCCTTCTGGACCGGCTTCGTTTTCGTCGCGTTGACCTGCTTCTTGATGTACTCCGGGCCATCACCCTGCCGCAGAGCTGATAGGCCACACGGGCAGGCTACACCTTTTTCTTGAACAAAACGCGTTGCAATAAGAAAATATGGAAAAACCATGAAAAACCAAGCATTGGTCATGACTCTCATTAACCTGAAATTGACGTTTTGTGAAAACATTTTCTGAAAATCATGAAGGCAATGCGTGCATACGTTTTTCCCTTTGGCATCTCCGTTTTTGTTCTGAATGCTGGAGGCGTTCCAGGCCAAACCGTGGCACTCCTTTGTCTCAGGTTATGATTGATTGACACGTTACCATTGCATGCGTTGCAACTGAATACGTCATGACATCATGCATCACCTGTTGGCTCTATGGCCAATGTAACTCAAAAATCGCAGTTTCAACAAACCCATTTTTCTAAGGCGAATGTTATTGTCATTGGCGGTTTTTCAGGTATGTGCCGCAAACCAACTGGAAAAAAAACGCGGCACCAAGAAAAACAAGAATGTGAAGCCGCTGGCCGCAACACATTGCCACCGCATGGTTGGGTTGTCCGGAATTTCGTTTCATTGTGGCACGCGGGTGAGGCGAGGTGGGTGTGGCATTACAGTCCACTGGCACGTGCACATACTAGTGGTGCTACTGCCGAACAATGAACACAAATGGCAACATAACCCCCTTGCAGAAAACATCCGGCCACCAAGAATTGGCACAAGCATTGCCTCAATTCTTTTAACCCGTCGCAAAATTGAAGGCTCACCAAAGCTCAAAACATTCTGACGTTACCAAAGGAAGGCGAGAAGAGCCAGAGGAGAGAGGTGCAAACGAAAGAAGATCAGAACGCAAAAGTAGAAAAACCGCGAGACTCTGTGTTTTTCCACTGTTTGGAGCTCCGGAGGGTCGAAAAGTAGGCGCAAAAAAGTAGCGATGCTACAGCAGCAGGTGCGGAGCCATCTGTAAATCAAAAATTGCACGCCACTGTGGCCCAAAGCTGTGGCCCAAGGCTCGTTTCAAAGTCAAAATGCCAAAACCACCCCACGTCCAGAGCACTCTTAGAAGTTGAGCTGCTGAAAAAGTGCACGCGGCTGTGGTGCGAAGCGCGTTTCGATGTCAAAATGTTAAAAACACCTCGTGCTCGGAGCGCTTTTGGAAGTTGAGCTGTTGAAAAAAGTGCACGCGGCTGTGGCGCGAAGCATGTTTCGAAGTCAAAATGTTAAAAGCACGTCATGCTCGGAGCGCTTTTGGAAGCTGAGCTGTTGAAAAAGTGCACGCGGCTGTGGCGCAAAGCACGTTTCGAAGTCAAAATGAGCTGAAAAAAAACCTGGTATGTAAATCCTTGTCCCAAAAGCAAATCATGTGATTTCCAAGCGGCGGTCTTCATACTTATGTCTCGGCGCTTGATTCTGAACTGTTTGAACTAGAGCTTGTTGCATCTACATCAGAGCTGCTTTCAGCTACATCATATCCGTAGAGAAAGTTTCGTTCAGCAGTTTCTTTTTCAGGGAACAGCATCTTTTTCACAATCCCATGGCGGGGCCATTTTGCAACATGGCAGAAAAGTTTGACAGTGTTGCTGGGAAAATTAACCCATCTGTGGAACAAATTGCTATCAGGTCAATGACTTGGAACGCAACGCACATGGGATGAATGGTCTGCGGTCTCCGGGTTTTTGTGGGCAATTGGTCATTCTGACTGATATCCTGATGTCGTTCAGAGGTCGTTCAGAGGTCGTTTGGGAGCCGAGAAAAATGGCTAAATAATGACCCTTGAATACACGTGCATTGGTGGCACAGCACGGGGAAGAGCCTGGGCTCGTAAAGACATGGTTCTAGAGGGAAACCGCTCAGGCTAGGGTCTCGTTGCAGAGATTACAAAGACCGTGCCAGATGCAATTTGCCAGCCCCAAAAAATGCATTTAGGGTGGTGATTTGTTCTAAATGCATCTAGACCTGTATATAAATATATGTAAATATATACTTATATAACTTATATACGTATAATTAGAAGGTCGTTCCAATGTCGTTCTAGATGTCGTTCAAAGGGTCGTTCCCCAACTAAATGGCACATTCCAAAATTACCAAAAACATCCGAAATAGCTGCGGCGGTGCCTGGAATTCTGAACGAAGGATCGCACAATACTACTGTCAATTAACCCCCCTTTTTTTGGCTCAAATGTTAAAAGCACGTCATGCTCGGAGCACTTTTGGAAGCCGAGCTGTTGAAAAAGCAAGCGCGCGGCTGCGCGAAGCACATTTCGAAGTCAAAATGCTAAAAACACGCCACATTCGGACCACTTTTGGACACCGTCTTTTTCGTCAGGCGCAATTGGGTTCTCTACACCAAAAGCGGGCAAAACGATGTGGCGTCAGGAGGGAATCTGGCGCCAGACCAAGCAAGTGCTACACCATTTGCGGCCGCCCAGGTTTGAAGATTGACTACGCATTCCCTGACACCACACTAATTCCTGACGCCACTTTACCATCTGACGCCGCATTCTGACTACTACATACTACTACATACTACCTGACGCCACCTTCCCCCCTGACGCCACCTTCCCCCCCGACAGCGCATCTTGACGACACATTCCCGCGCATCTTGACGACACACTCCCCCTGACGCCACATTCTGGCGACGCGCTCCCTGACACCACATTCCTCCTCTGAAACCACATCGTGACGCCGCATTCTCTCCCGAGCCACATTTGGTTTCCCATCGGTTTGATGTGCCCGGAGGAGCCACGGTGCAAGCCCCAGGCAATCTTTACTCCTGGGGATCAACCTACTCATACCTACTCGTGTCCTGCGGGCGCATCTATACTCAGATGTTTTCCAAAAGGGGGTGGGAAAATTTACGTAGAAGCTTTTAAAGCGTAGCATCAATGATGTGAGAAAATTAAAGAGAAAATCTTAAAGCGTAGCACCGATTTATGTTGGAAAAGTGAAGAGATATGAAGAGATCTTAGAGCGTAGCATCAATGATGGTAGAATGTTTGCAAGTTGGTCAGACTTTAGGGCGTAGCATCAATGCTGCTTGAAACTTGAAGGGAAGATCTTAGAGCACAGCAACAATGAAGATCGAACGTTGGAAAATTGAAGAAAAGGTCCTGTAGCGTTCCATGATGGCAGAATGCAAGACAAATGGACCAAAAGATCTCACAGGGTAGCATCAATGATGTTAGAAAATTGAGGAGAGAATTGTTAGAGCGTAGCAGCAGTGATGCTTGAACATCGGGGAGAAGATTTGGAGCAAAGCAAATGATGGTAGAATCTTGTAGGTTGAAGAGAAGATCTCTGCGCGAAGCATCAATGATGGTAAAACGCTCTAAACATTGAAGATAAGAAGTCAGAGTGTAGCATCAGTGATGGTAGAACGTTGGGAGAAGATCGTGGAGGGTAGCATCAAAGTTTGCTCGATCCTAAAGCAGAATATCATTGATGTTTGAAAATTAAAGAGAAGATGTTGGAGAGTAGCATAAATGCAGCACTTCGTAAGGGAATTGGAGAAAAGACCTCACCAATGATGTTTGAAACTTGAAGAGAAGATCTTAGAGCGTAGCCTTAATGATGGCAGAGTGAGAAAATGAGGAGAAAATCTTTGAGAGGAAAGCATCCATAATGGTAGAATGTTAGAAGATTGATCAGAAGATCTGGGAGCGTAACATTAATCATGTGAGAAACATGAAGATAAGACCTCAGAGAGTAGCGTCAATGATGATAATATTTGGGAATTTAAAAGAGAAAAATCAGCGTAGCATCAGTGATGGTAGAATGTTGGAAGATTGAAGAGAAGATTTCAGAGCGTAGCATCAATGATGTTAGCAAATGGAAGAGAAGATCTTAGAGCGTGGCAATGATGTGCGACATTTTAAGAAAGCTTAGAGCGTAGCGTCCGTGATGCTAGAAAATTGAAGAGAAGATCTCAGTGCGCGCGAATAATCACGGCATAATGTTAGAAAAACGAAAAACAGATCTTAGGGCGGGGCATCAATGATGGCAGAACGTTTGAATGAAGATGTGGGAGCAAAGCAATCGTGTTGGTAGAATGTTGGAAAACTGAAGAGAAGATCTTGGAGGGTAGCATCAATGATGGTAGACGCTTGAGAAATTGAAGAGCACATGTTGGATTTCAACGTCTGTGGTTCGTTTCGGCCCGTAAATTGCGGAGCACTTCCCATGAGCTGGCGTGAAAAAATAAGACATTTTTCGTCACCACAGCATGCGGTCACTTGCTGCAGCGGTCACTTGCGGTGTCTCGCGGCCACTCGAGTGACTGCAAGTGACCGCAAATGACCGACTTGGTTGACTTGGTAAAATAAATTACGTGCAGTCACTTGCAGCCACTTGCGGCCACTCGAGTGCCTGCAAGTGGCTGCAAGCGAACGCTTTTTCGAAAATCAAACGCTGCACTTCCTGCGTGCTCAATGGGATGGTTGGTTTGAAATTTAAGGTTTATTGATGGTTAAGACGTGTATAAAATCTTGTTGGGTTTGCTTGTGGTTTACTTGGGAGGGAGAACATGAAAGGTAGATGATCAAGAAGGGGAAGCAAAGCCTCTCCGTGTAAAAGCTGGCTGTGTGTAGAAGCGTGCTGTGTGCACAAGCTTCTGTGTAAAAGTTTTTCTGTGTATAGCGCCGGACATACACTTAGAACATTTTGTCAAATTTTCAAATCTCACACGTAGAACCGCTTGTTTAAGGATTTTGCTCCACGTTTAGAACATAAGACTTAGAACATCTGAGCAACATTGCATAACATTGCCCCTGATGTTCTAAGTGTGGAGTCTTTGCAAGCTACTGATGGTTTTTGAACATGATCATACATTATCACATCATCAACTCTGCACACATTTCCCTTTTTTTGATCGCATCGCTGGCATTACAAGCTACTTTCGATGCCTTTGTTTGGCAATGCTTGCAAACTCGATATGTACACATCTCAGCAGATTTTCCCAAGTGCCGGTTGTATAGCGATCATTTCAAGCTAATTGTTGATGCCTTTGTTTGGCAATTCTTGCACACCTCATATATACACATCTCTGTTGATCTT